ATCTAAAAGGTAAGTATGACCACATGATGCTACATACTACTGACCGATTGCTATGAGTAGTTGGATGCTACTCATGCCATCCAGATCGAATTGGTCTAAATACCGGACAGGCCTTTTCGCTTATTTGTCATCGAGACCAGTGTACCTGGCTTAGATCTATAACAAGCGCTTCTGGTTGATATGAGTGATATCTAACTACTCATATCTATCAAATAGTAGTATATAGCATCTTGTTAACCTGTTAACTTGTATAAGTAATCGAAAACAAATAGTGTATACTAGAATTCCTCGCTAAACTAATTACAGTGAACTTAACAACCAATACAGACATTTAGCCCTTTGATATCATGTAAACATCATATGATACCTGTCTGAAATGATTTACCAAAAACGGCGTAAAACTTGAATTCTGGCTAGGTATTTTACAAGTATAGCGACTATTTGCAAGATTTACAATAAACGGCAGAAATCATGACAAACAAGTCACTGAAAGTAGTGTCCATATTGTACAAGTACGATCAACTCTGGATAGAAGTGAATGTGTGTGTGAGAGTCGTCTCTCACTAAAATACTATAACAATCTTGACAATCAGTAGTGGCCAGAACTATCTCAACGTAGTCTTGCAAAAATTAGAAGATGAAATAACATGAAGTAATGTCGAAACATGATGGTCGCTACTCTCTTAACTAATCTATCTATAAGCCACTATCTTTCCTACCTAAGTTGAAATCAACTATCAAAGGAGGGATGAGTAATTCACACGATCACAAAGTGTCTATTAACAAGTAGTTTCACAGTAATCTCTGTACATTCAGAGAAGATTGAAATAGTACATACATGCAAATATGCTGCATGCGCACTACTTATAACCAGTTAACTGCACCACAGCATTCAATCAACAAAAATAAATATAACTGCGGTGATTGCAGTGACCTGGTCAATAGTTGGGTATCGTAGGTTAGCTGGAACATCACTGGACCCATAAGTCACATCCTCCAGCAACCTGGATCTTCATTTCGCCCTCAGTAATCAACTTTTTTTAAACACAATATTGTTCATAAATATAAAGTTACAATCATACTGCATACTGAATAGTCGATTTTATCCTGCCTCATACACTTGGACAGAAACGACTACAAAAGTCTGTCAGAGATTAGTTAGCTGGTTAGTTGGTTGTTGGTCAATCTTGATACCTGACGGCTTACATTTGTTATTATTCAAGTTAAACGCAGAATTATGTTTATCTCACTTCAAATCTTTTATACAAAAAAATAGGAAAGCTTTACACTTACAAAAAAATAATAATACAAAACTGTTATTCAGTTATTCATCCTATTTTGTGTTTGGTGGGACTGTCAGTCATTGGAGTACAGTCATTCTACAGGTTCGCACTCGTGATTATTGCAACAGTATATATATATATATATATATAGTGCATCTTCACTTTTACAAATTCTGCTAAACAAACAGATAGATCAGTGTAAAGCCTGGCACACAAAATCATTACTTCAAGTCTCCCCTCTTTGTAACAAAGGCACATAAATAAGAAGTAAATAGAGATAGAACATTATCACGCGTTAAGCAAGAAGCATTATGAACACAAAGGCAGAAAACAAATGAAAGTCAGTAACACTATTCAGAATGACTGACGACTGACTGATTGACTGGTTTCAACATAGAGCTTTGCACAGATGCGCAGTAGTTCGACTTGAGACTCTCCATGTAGCACACAAAGCAAGAGAAGAGAGGCTCAAAAGAGAGATAATCAACAGAAGTGTGAGTGAATATACCAATGATACTGTGATCACTTTTAGACCATTTCAAGTAGAATATTCAATAACTGATTTCCAGAATCTTTAAAAATCTCAACCAAGCAATCTACATCCCTCCAGATGATATAGAAGAATATTGAGACTCAAAAATCGGATGCCTACGTTTGCACCCATCTACATCCAATTTCGGCTAAACACGAGACTCTTGAGACTGTTTTAGGTAAGTAGTGACCAACATGAGCAACACATGTTCAAGTCACCTCAGTTAGTGAAGATTCACATTTATCCTTTTTCCCGTAATACACATATAACTTCAGAATTGTTCATCTTACAACTGCACCACCACATGTGACCAATACTACAAAGACATTTACGATCATGTTGTTCTACCTTGACAGCGATGTCTTGAAGCCGTAGCATAGAAAAAAAGTGAACTGCTAAATACCAAATTTGTTCTTTGGTAGATAATCAGATATCTCTTAGGCATAAAATATAACTTCAATAAGTGAATGCTAAACAATCCTTTCGTACGCGTATTTGTCTTCACTAACCAGTTCATCAACAGATTCGAACAGTTTGTGGTGAGAGCTGGCTGCAAGCCAAAAATTGTAGACAGCGATTTAAGTCAATGTTACGTCCCGAATCGGAGTCATGAGCAAAACAATAACAAAGCTTAACCTTGAGTAACTCACCAACCAATCACAGCAGACTTAACGTGTGAAAATAGGATTCGCAGATATATGGCTTAACTTTCTGAGAAACGGTCACAAGCAGTACAGAATAACCTTCAGCAAGAAAACAACCAATCAGAAAACTTTGCTTCTCCACTGACAATAATGTACATAAAAATCTATAAATATCTCTTGATTTTCTCAATAAACGATCTGTTGCCTGGCCCTTGTCTTCTGTCGTTACAAATTGACACTAAACCACAAATCGCTAGCATAAGTGAATACTAACAGTCGAAATAGGATATATCTCACTGTAAAAACCGTTATTTGTTGTTTCGGTTAGGCTAAAAAACAGTCGTAAACATTCAGCATTTGGACTTAACCCCATGACTGACTGAATTTCAACATAGAAATTTGCACAGAAGTACACCAGTTCAACTTGAGACACTCCATGTAGCACACAAAGATAGAGAAAAGAGAAAAATTCAGGGGAAATATGATAAGTAGAAATGTGCGGGAGAAAGAAGAATAACGTTTTTAAAGAAAACATGAGGATTTAAAGGATCTGGAAGAGTGGATGCATCTGAGCCGTATCACCAATAGTCTCAACCACTGGTTCTTAGTATCTCGAGGACACCAACCAAGTAGTCTATACCTCAATACATAACTAGCTCAAACCAATTGTCAAAGACATCATGGACTGATGACAGGTTTTGGTTTGACCGCCCCTAACGCTCTACCAAACTAATCCAGTGTCAGCTAACATTCCTCATCGAGGAAAGCGGTTGTTCCGCATGCGCGCAACATGTATTCCAGGTATCTCAAGCAGTACTGCTTCACAACCTCATTGATTGACTTGCTCTCCTTAACTTACACACTTTACGCCTAACCTAGATATCGCTCATCATATTATGCCACTTAGTGCAAACATCTGTCGTCCAAGACAGGTAGTCTTCCACTTTCAATGGACATGTCTCCACTGCCAACTGCCTGTACACTTTTCCACTTGAATTAATTCAACAAAAGTATATTCTGAATACAATTCATCTTGAAATGTTTCACTTGAATTACAAACATTCAAAAGAAATAACAATGACCATAGTAAATCGGAACATGATGACTAATAAAAGTCTTCAATGTTTTGTACCCACACAAACACTCACGCACACACACACACACACACAAATAAATCATTGAACAAATCTTAACACTGACAGAATAGGCCAAGACGATAACAAAATCACAGCATAGAAAATTTATAAACCACAGACAAATTCATGAATATATTCTGTCCAGTATTTTTTTATCACCTCTCAGTTTTCTATTTGTCTGTTTGTCCATAGACAGAAATATTAAAAATAAACACAAATGTCATGTTATTGTGTGTCAATCGGAACTTTGCAGTAAAACGCTGAGCAAAGTTTATAGAGTATAGTAATACCCAAAGTAATAATAACAATAATAATAATAGCTACTAACACCTTGACAAAAGAAATTCAAGTGTTAACGAGTTAGAATGTGTCTTTTGCACAGCATGAAATAAATTAAGGCGAGAAAGCGGCAGGAGATAAGAACTAACTAACTAAGTGTACAGTTCAAGTTGAAGTACACATTTAACTAGGAAGTTAGCTGAAGATGTCTCAAGGTCACTAAATAAAACTCTGTCTCAGTGGAATATTTTCATTTTAAATTAGTGATCACTTCACAGTACAACTTCAAATCAACTGAAGACTGAAAACTTGACACGAATATTCTTACTATTACTGTCTGCTGAATATTTCTATTGCAATCAGTTCAACTAAGCTCAACCCAATGTTACTCAACAACTACACCTGCAATTCCATGCAGTTGATAATGAACCAAACCTATTGTGTGAGGGTTAGTTATGCTGCCCCAGAGTGTACAAACCTCGGTGCGCGGAGCAAGGGTTCGAACCCGTGGCTCACTGGTTGGAAATCAAAAGCCTAGATCAATCAGCCATGCAATAAACATAATGACCGATGTGATAATGGTATCTCTTCCACATTTACGAATTATTCCGTATACTAAACAGAAAATGTGTTAGATACTGTATAAAGTCTGTTTGTTTTTTTGAAAATAAATCTCTACTTAGAAGTTAATTGGTGGATGGTGACTAGCAGTGGAATCCAGGATGTGTATTTCGTCCTATTTGGGACTCGTCATCTGGATGTACTTCAAACTATACAAACTATACCTCAGACTATGGGCACTGGGGTTCGAGCCTCGGTGGGAACATCATCACTCACTGCGGAATGCAGGTACATCCAGATGACGAGTCCCAAATAGGACGAAATATGCATCCTGGATTCCACTGCTAGTCACCATCCACCAACTAACTTCTAATTACATGCCCAGACATCGTCGAAGCATCTACACAAGAAGCCGACATGTCAACCTGAGACCGAGCACTTCGGTCCAATCAGTCGACGGGAAAATCTAAAATTGAATTGTGAATAAATCTCTACTCATCAAAATCTTTGATTATATGCTATAGATTTAATAAATACATATTAATTTATCAAGAAGACAACTCACATTTCCATCACCACGTCCAACTGTGAAAATGACACTGATGATAACTAAATGTGAGAATTCTGCTTGAATCCATTCCCGTAGGCCATCTTCAACATGTGTATTTGGACACCAAGCATAACCACTTGTATGTTCATTACTTCCATATACCTCTGTTAATCTGTGTAAAAGAGAAACAATGATAACAGGAAGAATTAATAAGCGGTGAATTAATTTACTCAATAATACTTTTCGACAAAATAACTGTAATACAAATAACCGTATATGAAAACTTCTGGTCATAACAAAGAGGTAACAGGTAAGATCAAGATGATACTTGTTTCTAACATTTCTTGATAGTATGTATGTCAGTAGTAACAAACTTCCTCGAACCAGAAACTTTCAAAATAAAAAGTCAGCTAGTCACCTTCTCATAGTGTGGCCTGTGCTATTGATAAGATTTATCAGTAGTATGTAAAGAGACGTTCATTGGCATAGAAATATCAAATAGCGGAGAGATTGACTTCAAAGACTGACAACAAAGAACCATCATCAAAGACCACAAGAAAATTCATTCTACCATACATGAAAAATATCTTTGAAATAACAGCTTGAATACTGAAACCTTTTGATATAGATATACCACACAAGCCAGTCAAATCGCTTAATCCGATATTATGCAAACCGAAAGATAGAACAGAAAAAGGGGATAAAATTAATACCATTTACAAAATAAATTGTATGAACTGCAACAAGCATTACATCGGCCAAAGTGGGCGTCCCCTTCGAATAAGAATCCAAGAACACACATCAGCCGTGAAAAGACACGACATATATTCTTTAGTATCGCTGCATATAGACAACTATGGTCATCAATTTGATTGGGATAATGTCAAAATCTTAGACAGAGGAAACACCAAAAGTGCCAGGGAAGCCTGGTACTCAAACGAAAATGCAATTAACAAACACGTTAATATAGACGAAATATACCAACTAATAAAAAGTAAATCAGGTGACCAGAAAGTTTAAAATCCAAGTCAATAGAAAATGGTCAATACATATGTAAAGATGGTTACCAGGAGACGCAATTATATCACTCATGAAGAAATTTTAATCACTTCACTTTATGCTAAATATGGCGCTGAAGATGTTGTCCAGAAGGACGACGAAAGCTCCGCAACTAAACCAACCAGCTCAGAGAACACTAATAATTGCAGATTGACTTCTAGTCAAAGACAGGAAATGAACCAGCGTTGCGGGAAAACATGGGAGACACGAGAAGAAGACAGAGAAAGACAATACGAAGGATAGAAGCAGCGCAAGACGGAAGATCTGTGCGCACGACGATTTTCAGATAAGGTGTACATAATTTCGTTATATAGAGATACCGAATTCCAAATAAACATTCCTTTACCAAGTCTCTTGTCTTCTGCCGTTACAATAGGAGATTACAATACAATTCTGTCGGATATTCTCCGCTTATGTCAACTTAAGATAGACCAGTGATTAAGTTCATTGTGTCGACATCATGTTAACATGTTTACATTTCAGAGTAAGGTATTTTTAGTCATTTGTGTGACTCATTGAATTTATGGAGTAATCAGAATTTCCTAGACCATAACTAGAAATACGTATGAAGATGATTGAAATGATATTCAAATATGGATTATAATTAACTGTTTTCAGAACTGTAAAAACTAGTGTCCAATTGTTAAATTTCTTTCAACATCACATCTCCACTTCAAGCTGTTCTCTACAGCCCTTTTTATTTGGCTCCACGATTGCTCATAAGCTTCTCACACTATTTCCACCATGCCACATTCTCGGAGGCCCGACTGCTCATCTCCCATTCGGGTTCGATTCCACGGGCATGGTGTGTTATGTCACTTGAATGTCTCCTAAATGTATGTCCAATCCATTTCCACTTTCTTCTGCATATTTGTTGGGCGATGGCTTCTTGGTTGCTTCATTGATACTGCTCATTCTTGTTGATCCTTTCGGATCATCTGATCTTAGTGTATCAATGCGGTGAAGACAGCTGTTGACAGAAGTCTGAAGCCCGTTCGAAATGCATTTGGTGACGCCCACACCGATTCCCTGAACCACATAGAAGTATTGACTTGACATGAGTGTCGAAAATCTGAATCTTTTTCCAAATGCTGAGTGCAATAAGTTTCTACAGTATCATGAATTTATTCATGTAACACTTCAAACGCTTTCAGCAATTTGTTATGACGATAATGGAAAAAATGATAGCTGGACTTGAAAAAGAAACTTAAGTTTTGGTAGAATCCGAATTTCAACAGCCCGAAAAACATGAAAGACTTATCATTGTTAATTTGATCAACTACTATAAGTAAAAAGCTTATTTAATCATGTATACCTTATACTTTTTTCATTAGACCACCTCAAAATGTTTAAATTCAAACAGCGCTATTTTCCCCTTCTTTTAAAACAAAATATAACATGTCATAAAAACAAATTATTTTTTCATCGTTTATGTTATTAAATAGACTACATAAGAAGAAAACTTGATGAACACGAACTGGACACATTATTATTTTATTATGACGATGATGAGTATATTAAAAAAGATGTAAGTGTGAAGATGAATACAGATTAAAACAAAAGGTTCAATGTTCCAATAAAGTATAATGTGACCTAAAACACAAACAGGCAAGCAGTAGAAATTATTATCATTATTATGTAGAAGAAAAAAATAATTAAAGACCACTCTGTCTCAGTTTACTTTAAACAATGAATTTACAATAAATTATCACATTAAGTAATTAACAAAATTTTAAACTAAGAAGGACAGGGGTAAAGTAACCGTTATCATTATTATTATTATCACTATCCTTTTTACTGTTTGTTGTGCTTAAATTTCATTATTGATCTTTAATAAATTAAAATTATCAAGGTCAAATTATCATCGATAATTTTTGAAGTGAATTAACTAACTACCCTGTTGACAATGTATTTTATGTATAATTAATTTACAGTATAAAATGGAAAAGAAAAACTTGAAAATAGAGGCCATAAACTGACTTTTTGAAGGTTGAACCAGCATAGTAATTTTATTATTTATTTATTTAATTCATTCATTTTAAGAGCAAGGGATAATTATGAATTCTTAATATTGGATAAATAGGTGAATATTTAAAGCCAATGTACTAAATATGATGTGAGAGAAAACAAACTGTAGGTATAATAGAAGAGATTTATGCAAATTAAATGATTTTGTATGGTAGACATCATTTACACACAAAGTACCCCTAAATAACAATAAAAATATTAAAAAGGTAAAATAACAGTTCATTCTGTATTCAGAAAAACATAGGACACAAAGTACGCTTAGAGAGTTGTACGTCCAATCTTAACTCAGGTAATTCAATGTTCTGAAAATTAGCGTCACAAGTTATCACAATTTTACTAAATAGATTTTCCAGTATTAGTTTGTAAGGATTTGACTGGCTTCAAGTTTTGATCACGGATTGATATCATTTAGAACCGCAGGGAGTACAGGCCGGATGTCACGTCCTAGCTTCGGGACTCTTCATCAGTACACACCTATTCCCCCACCAGGGATCGAACTCAGGACCTTCAGGTTATGAGGCAAGCTCCTAGACCATCCAGCCACTGTAATGGAATCCAATGACCCATAAATTCTAAGTTCTATGACCTCATGATTCTTCTAAGCGCCAGCCACGTGATCGGCGAATATTTGTTCTTACACCCAATCTGGTGGAACCCACTGGTCACGACTTCTCACTAGACCTCCAGTCAATTTCGTCCTATAGTAAGTTACTAGTGAACATCAGATTAATTTGCAAGTGCGTTAGCTACATTCGGACAGTATTGGAATTTTTCAAATCACCGATTGAAATAACTATTTGAACCGGTTCAAGATGACCTCTAAACACTCAATGATCAAATTCACTTTGTCACAAATATCACATATTATAGAGTTCAAAATGAAGCAGTTTTTAAAGCGACATTCCTCTCGTTTTAAATCATCTCTTCTTTTGTTCTAACCTCCATCCATGTCTTCGAGCTCCTAGGTCGACTAAAGGAACAAGATCAAACTTTAAGTGGATTAAACTTCATTACTTCTGCTAATAGAAACTAATTAAAAAAACCAGTAAATTCGACTCTTAGAGAATGAAAAGGTTTCTACAACTTTTCTTTCACCACTGTAAACTTTCTAGAAAATCTAATGATGTTGGATGATGAATGCCCAGTAAATACAATGAAATTTGAAAGTGTGTCCCATTGGAACTCAATGGAAAGGCTAAAATGCAATAATCTTGTTTTCTAGTACTAAGGTTCTTTATAGATAAGATGAAATTTACATTGACCTGTAAGCCCTTATCACATTTAAACAGTATTGTCACATCCCACTGTGTATAGCAATCTACATGTATATATGTGAGCGAACATACATAGCCGTAACCTACCAACCTCTGAAGGATAGGGCTACAGAGCACATTCCTGGAAGTAGATACCCAAAGTCACTTATCTCAAAGTATATCATAGAGACAGGTCATAAAGTTGATTTTAGCACTCCTTTTAAACTCATATGTGAAATCATCTTTGAGTTAGATACTCAATTTTATTGAAGTCCTCGATATTAAGGGGCTTAGAGATGTCTCATGTGCCTAACTAGCCACTACCATCCACTCTCTATCATAATCACAGTATGCATAATGAAAACGGGGAAGTGCATTCATACCCATGTATGTACAGAAAGCAATATAATTTTGTGTAACTTAAAGAATGGAGTGTAATCATGAGTTTATTAAACAATAATTGTTTTCATTAACTTGTAAAAATGACATATAGCTAATCGAGGTCTAATCTAAAAGTTAATCCTAGGAAATCGAAGACATCATCTGTGTCTCTATCTCCAATTAATTAAAAACCCCGTAGTCTAACAAAGAGATATTGTAACGATGACTGGTAATGTCGCCTTGATTGCATATCATATTAATTATAGCTTATTTCACGCATTTCACGGTGGCATAGCGGTTAGGACGCTCGCCGACCATGCACATGGTCCGGGGTTCGATCCCCGGCCGACGCACTCCCTTACCTCGCTAAGCCAGAAATAATGCTGGTGAAGAGGAAAAGTTGGGCATGAGGCTAGCAACTCCATCCCGTAAAATAAACACTGCTACAGAA